GGAGGACAAGTACTTTCAAGTTTGTCCTCGTCCCCCCCCCGAAACATGTGCCCCCGTGGTTGGCGACGTCCTCTGCCCGACCCCTGCCCTGCCCATCTCGCCGCTCTTGACTGTACTTTGCAACCCGGGTCCATCTGCTCCGAGGCTCGGTGGCTTTTGGGCCCCGGCTTCCTGGCCGGTCTCTTTGAAATGCAGAGGACGCCGGGGCGAAATCTGTCTTTCCGAAACTTTCGGAAAAGTGGAGACGTTTTTATTACTGCCGTCGAAAGTGCCAAAAAAGAAAAAAGAGAGGGAAACTGGGTGGTTTGAAGGATGGGGGGGGGAGAGACAGAGAGACAGAGAGAGAGACAGAGAGAGAGACCCATATTTAAGACCAACAATGTTTTATTCAGGGTGAAGAAAGGGCTGTAAACTCTAGCTGTCTGTCAGTGGGTTATAGAGACACATTGCTGTTAGACGCTAGGGGTGCTGGTGACGCCGAGATGAACACCCACACCGGCACACACCGCCCTCTTTGCAGAAGGCGTGTAAGGAAAGTGGAGGTGGCCCTTGAAAAATCAGACACGAATAGAAGAAGCCAGACCTATTCGCTACCCCTTTTAACCTATGCTGGACGAGACAGAGATATATCAAGGGGAAAAAATAAATATGGAAGAGATCCAGGTCAGGAGATGTTTTAAAGAAGTGTAGCCTTCTTTAAAGCCAGTTTACCTTCGAGCTCCCTAGAGGCCCCCGCAGGGAGACCGCTGTCCTGTTACCTTCGCTTGTTTGATCCCACCCCTAAGCTTTACTCACTTGGAAGTCATTTCTATTGAGACCATTTCTTCTGAGCCAAACAGGAATCTGGCGGCCCCTTAAGGATCTTTATTCGGGCATAAAATGTGCTGAGTCAGAGCTCACCTGAGTCATGGCTAGAGATCAACACGGCAGTTCTAAGCAGAGTTGGACCAGGCTGAGAGTTATTGAATCCAACGGGCTGAGAAGGATGTGAACTGGGCTTAACTATCGGGGTTAGTGATGCTTCAGGAACAAGCCGCTTTTAAAAGTGTGCGTGCACGGGAAAGCTCATACCATGAATACAACTTTGTGGGTCTTAAAGGTGCCACTGGACTCAAACTTTGTTCTAAAGTTACCTTTATGTTCTCGGTCTGAAATTGGGATTCTGTTTCTGTGGGGTGTTTTATTATTTTTGGTCTCCTTGAACGTAACCACAGTTGCTTGGGAATCAAGCTAGAAGGACAGACATAAGTCATGGAAAAAAAGGTGCGCAGAGGAAGTGTTGTCACCTCGCGTTCACACGAAATGAATGCTGCACCTGTTCAAACAGTGGGATAGAGGACTTCAGCCAGCCATCTCTTGCGTACTTACTCGGAAGGTGCCATTGAAAGCAACACTGCCAACTTAATAGATGCCAGTTGGGCGTGGAGAGTTGATGCCCTTAATTATGGCAAATATGGGAGCCTCCGAGTCCTAAAAAGCTGTACCCGGCCATTAGATTTAAAAAAAAAAATTCCTTCTTGGCCTTTAGTTGACTATAATAATACAATGCTTGACCCAAGAGTCCAACATCTATCTCCCGGAGGAAAGAGTATGCTTTCAGTGCCAATTTTTGTAGTGGGAAGGGATTCTTCTTTTGGGGCGGTTGTGAGATTTAAAGGAGATCTGTTGAAGCCCACAGAAAAGGATGTCAACCTGGAACTGGGAGGCACACCACTGTGTCCCCAGTTTTCCCATTAGGGCATAATTTCGGTTTGAAGCCGGAGAAATCAACTGTTGTCCTTAAGCACCCAACTGGTGACCCTAATCCCAGCCAGAATCATTCCAGGTGAAAACCGGGCAGAGATCAGGCCCAACCCAAAGCTAAGTAATACTCTCCTCTACCTGAAGAAGAGTTCTGTGTGATTCGAAGGCTTTTGTATTCCTACACTAAAATAATTCTAAGGTCAGGGTTTTTGTTTTTAAAAAAATGCAAAATCTACTACAGTTTATTCTTCCAGACCAACAGGATCAAAAACTTCTTTCCTACCCTCTGAAGGTTCATTAGTTATACCGATGTGCATATTTTATTGCTTTATATCCCCTCTTTATCGGAAATGAAATTCCTTTGATCCTTTTCTTCCTTCCCGTCCCTGGAGGGGTAAAGGATTTGCCCTTTGAGGGGGGTGGGATCCACCTTTTTTGTTTATTTCCAGAGTTCCCTCATCCCATTTCTATCTTGGCGTTTTAGGTGAGCTAATGATCCACAGAAGCCTTTAAAAACTTCATGTTATGTGGGAAGTTATTTTTAATTACAATTAATTGCTAAGGGGCAATTTTCGTTCTAATTAAACACTAACTCTTTCTGGGGCTCCATTGGAAAGAGCACATATTTCGGTTTTAATACTTTCTTCGGTCCACTAGTTAACCAATAGCTCTTCCTCTTTGCTCAACTTCTTGGATTAGGCTATCTTCTCCAAACGAATACGAAACAATGGATTATACTGTAGGTTCTGGCTAATAACCGGGAGGGGGGTTGGGAGTGATATGTTGTTCTTGAGCGTACATAGCAAAAGTTTCCGGAAATCCTCTCTTCCGAAATCTGGGTGTTTTGTTTGGGTGACGTTTTCCCTCCTGGCTGTAAACCACTCGGAAGATTTCTAGCCCCAGGAGGATGTGTCTGTCTTCTATATGTACCCTGTAGATCCGAATTTGTGTAAAAGAAGCGGCCTCACAAATTCGCATCTAGGGGAATATGTAGTTGACACAAACGCTACGGAGCGCAGCCACAGCGGAAGAAGAAGGCGGAAAAGAAGGGGAGAGGAAAAAAAGGAGAAAGCAAACCGTTGGAGAGTTTTCCTAAAGAGGATTGCGCAGAATATTTTTAAATGGCATATATTGTTACTGGCTTGGGCACAACCCATCACTCGCCATATATATTAAAGATTGGTTTTGCGAGCATCCGGGTTCGATGCTCTTTATTGTCGAGTATCTCCCACTTTTCAGACAGAACAGGGAGGTTCGCCGTTGTCCTCTGTTCTAATAAGATCTAGTCTACAACGACACTCGTCTGCAGTTGCCGACGGGTGGCCGTGTTCGTCCTCCGCAGAGAACTAAAACAAAAATCCAGTGGTCTCTTAAAGACTAAGAGCGTATATTTCAGCACCAGCTTTCCTGAGTCAGAACTCCTCCCTAAGGTCTTATTTGACGCAATCCCTGCTGTTAGCCACATACAAATGACAGGTCCCTGCCCCGAAGCCTTACAAAAGGGATGGATATATTGTGTCCCAATGATGTGTGTGTGTGGGGGGGGGAGAGAGAGAGAGAGAGAGAACGAACGAGAACACGAATCTTGGATGTGCGGTCCCTATTCTTTCAAGCCTCTCTTTAAAAAAATGATTTCTGCTATTGGATATTTTCATTCCTCCGGCTGTAGGTCTAACGTTAACCCTCCCGGCTCCTTCGCAGTGTTCTATAGTATTTTATACACTTTGGGGATGTGGGGTGGGGGACCGAACTAGTCTAAAGCAGAAGCGAACTGTCCTTTAAAGGGATGGGTAACTCGAATTAGTTAATGATGTTTCGATCGATCTCCAGCGCGCTCTATCGATCTTTGCCAGTGGCTCGCCTCCTATCACCTGCGTTCAGAAACAAATTTTCAAGGCCGACTCTCAAATGAATGCGGCTTAAACCGAGAATATTCCTTTGTTTTTTCTTTCCAATCTTCCGTGTTTTCTGATTAAAGAAACTGTTCGTTTGCACCTGGGTTTCCGCCAAGGGGAATAGCGATTGTGTATGTATAATTCAGAGTAATTTTAATTGATATGGGGGGGTTTGCATTGGGAGGGGGCACTTGAGTTTGGAGACTTATGGAGAGAGTACAGGTCATCGTGTTTCTGAGGTGGGGCTCTGATGATGTAATTCCCGTATTTTTTTAAGAAGAAGAAAAGTCTCGACTGTCCATGGCAGAATGTACATTCCCACTTAGCCTTCGACTGATTTCGCTGGGAAGTCCAGTTTTAGTTCAGTGGAAGTTACTCCCCAAGTGGACCGTGGGCTTGCAATGGAAAAGCGCAAAGAGTTGAGCGCACGTTCCCCCCCCACAACCTCCACGCCGCCTTCCCTCCCCCCTCTTGATTATTTCCTTATCCGGGAATCCCAGACAACCTCTCCATTGGTTCCTGGGGTCACATGGACACCTAACTTTGTTCACTTGACGGCAAATGTAGGAGGGCTCTGCGAAACAGGAAAACGAGTGCGGAGGGGAGGGGAAGGAAGGGAGCAGGGGGAAGGGGAAGGGGAGGGGGCCCCCAAAGAAATAGGAATAAATTTTAGTATATATTTTTGGGGTGTGCGTGTGAGCAAGCGAGCGAGCGAGCGAGAGTGTGCGTGCTGGCGCACGCGCGCCCTTGGCTAAAATTTTCCCCCCACCCCCCCCAAAAGCAATATTAATGGCCATGAGTTCCTTCTTGATCAACTCCAACTATGTGGATCCCAAATTCCCACCGTGCGAAGAATATTCGCAGCACGATTACCTTCCCAGTCATTCTCCGGAATATTTCAGCGGCCAGAGACGAGAAGAGAACTCTTTCCAACCCGAGGCGTTGTACCCAGCGCGGTCCGCCTGTAACCAACCAACCTATCCTTCGTGTCGGGGCTCCGGCCCCCAGCCGGCGGTCCTCTCTCCCAGGAGCCAGCACGTCCACGCTCCGGCGGGACTCCAGAACCACCTCTCCGAACCGAGCCACCCTTGCGAATCCATCACGCCAAGCCCACCGCCTTCCTGTAGCCAAAACTCTCTCAACCAAAGCCCTTCCTCTTGCAAAGAACCGGTAGTTTATCCTTGGATGAAGAAGGTGCACGTTAGCTCGGGTAAGTGAACCTTAAAGAGCCTTTCGCTTTATACTAACCTGCACCTCAAAGTCTTGTTGGGAAAAAAGAGAGAGAGAGAAAGCTTATTGCCCCGGTTGTAAAAGAACCATTCCCCTCTGAGATTTATGGTCTCCCTGTTTGCCGAGCGCTATAATTACATCCTCCATAAATTTTTATTGCTCTTCTTGGCCAACTGCCTTTGAAGTCCCTGTTAACATCCTTCTTCGGGCTCTTTCTTTCTTTCTTTCTTTCTTTCTTTCTTTCTTTCTTTCTTTCTTTCTTTCTTTCTTTCTTTCTTTCTTTCTTTCCTGCCACAACGCTGATCAGGGAAAAGTTTTAAAGAAAGGATAGGATGCTCTTCATTATGGATGTGTAATTGCGTTGGGGGTAGTTTTAGGTAAACTTCTGCTGTGCCTTTTGCCTTAGCTCTTTAGTTTTGTCTCACAGCCCACGCTACTTACTAGGGAACACCGTGGGTTTCAGCGGGACCGACGACTCCCCCACCCCCGGAATATTTGGGCTGGAGAGTTTATTCTCACATAGCTGTTGTGGAACGTTTTAGAACTTGGGGGGGGGGGGAATACACGGTCACCTCCCCAGTACACGTGGGCGATCCCGGAGCTCGAATCCCGGAAGCGCTTTCCACTAGTGTCTCGGTCTGTTTGAGTGCCAAACAACTGCGACGGATTTGGACACTGGTTTCAGTCCAAACGCTCATTAAGCTTAAAATGGTTCTGGATCGGGTTGCAGGTCTCTCTCCCAAAGCACTCTTATGGACGGTGACTCCAGTCTAAGCCGATCAGATTTGGAAAGGGGTGGTCTAAGGCCACTGAAGTCCATGGGCTTAAACTGAAGTAACTTTGCAGACGATTGTACTGAATGCCACTTAAGGTTCTTGGGTTCAAGCTGGACTCGCCTCTCCTCCCGTCCCCACTTCCCCGTAAGCTTGAAACAGATGGGGGGGGGGTAAGCTGCTATTTAGGACTGGGCACCAGGGCTTCGCTTTAACTCACTCACCGCCGCTCGCTCTCTGGTGGTTTCCTTTATTCCATAACACAGACCCCAAATTCCATTTATGTAGCCCCCCCAAAATCAATGAGGTTACTCTAGAGGAGCGGTTTAAAGATGGCTGTTTGCTCTTGGAGGCCTTCAGTGAGCAATGGGCCATCCATGAAGTTTGGGGTTTTCATGCGTTAGGGTTGCTTAGGGCCAGACAAAGATGTGGAGAGTTAGGAAGATTAGACTCGTGTGAGATACAAAGGGGGGGTGGGGAAGAAAAAGAAAGGTACACTTTGAAGTTGTCTGTGACTCCAGCTTTCAGCTCTTTAACAAGAAAAGTATAGATCTCTGGTCTGAATCCTCCACCCCCCCAACCCAAGCTGGATGTCTTTGTGCTGACCCAATCCCCTTCTCCGGTTAAGTCCCCGATCCTATCAGAAGTCGTCCCCAGTCATTTCAGCGGGATTTATTGTCCGGTAAGCTTTCCTAGGATTGGAGCCAGACTGACTCCCGAGTAGAAGGTTGCTCTCAGGCCTGTTAGCTATGGAGGGCGTGTTCAGACCCAAGTCATTCCACTCTGTGGAAGGCATGGGAAGACTGGAAGGGGAACCGCAGCTGGACTTTCTTGTGCGGGACACCCGCCGCTTCAGACACCGGGTTTGTGTTTTGTCCTGCGTTGTCCGCGCGTGCACACGAACCACAGCAGAAGGGGAAGGGCTTGGACTGAAAGGACTTCCAATTGGGACGTGTGGATCCAGAACCATCTCTCTCTCTCTCTCCCGCGGGGTTTTGTGGAAGGAAGGCAGCGTTTCAAAAGAGGCAGAGGAGTAACATTCCAACCTTTCCCCCCCTCCTCACCCCTTCCCTCCCCTGTGCCTGATCTCCCCCCCCCTTTTCTGTTTCTTCACTCAGTCAACCCCAACTACACGGGAAGGGAGCCGAAACGGTCTCGGACGGCCTACACCAGGCAACAACTTCTGGAGCTGGAGAAGGAATTCCACTACAACCGCTACCTCACCCGGCGGCGACGGGTGGAAATCGCCCACTCCCTTTGCCTGTCCGAGCGCCAGATCAAGATCTGGTTTCAGAACCGGAGGATGAAATGGAAAAAAGACCACAAACTGCCCAATACAAAGATCCGGTCGAATGCTGCGACCAGCCTCCCGGCTCAAGAAGGGAGCGGAGCCCCCCAGGACCGAACCCATGGACCAACCCCCAACCCCCCCGCCAGTCTATAACCTCCCCTTGGAGCGCGGTCTCCCTCTGTGCGTGCGTGCGTGTGTGTGTGCGCGCGCGGGTGTGCGCGCGTGTGCCAGCTAAGAGAACTGATGTGTGAAAGGAAGGGACGCGTTGTGATTTCCACCGTTCCCTGAGGAAGAGACACCAGGGCGCTGAGGGAAGGGGTCGAGTGGGTGGGTGGGAACACTATTTATATGAAGGGAGAGAAGACAAAAGAGGATAGGAAAGGGGGGGGGGATTCTCCCGTTGTCCGGAAAGCAGGGTTGTATTTGTGGGTAGCTGCTCTATTCTATAGGAGATGTGGGTTGGTCCCCTCCCCCAGATTTGGCTAAGATGGATCCCTTTTTCACCCTTAATCAAGCCAAACTCGGGGCCATTTGTCATGTTTACTCTCGCGTACAAACGAAGGACCTTATGCCAGCCATTAGCTCGACAGGCAGACTCGTCTTTAATAAATGAGGCCCGGTTTCACCTATGAGGAACTGGATCCTCTCTATCTCTCCCCCCCCCTCGCTCTTTACCCTTTCAGGCCCTTCTTTCCTCCCCCCTAACCAGCCCCGCAAACCCGGTCTGAAGCCAGACATTTCCCCAAGGCTACCGAAAAGGTGTTGGCATCTGTTTAACACAGCTGTAGATGGCGGAGTGATTGGAAGGGAGAAATCAAATTTCTCCCAGCCCTCTAAGGACTTCATTGGATAGTGAATATTATAATGTTCCCGTAGAGACGGGCGCCATTGGGGAGGGAAGTCGGGGAGGGGCGACCTGAGTCCCCCCCCCTCAAGACTGGAGCAACCAAGGCATTTAAAAAAAACAACACAAAAACAACTTCAGGTTAATAACCTAACCTGCAAGACCTGGAAAGCGGAGAAGAGCTATACTCCTGAGCTTATAACAGTTGATTATAACATAAAGCCATCTGGGTTCGAGGGCCATTAATGGGAGGAGGGAGGTCCTTTGTAAATAAAGAGGCTCAGCCGCACTCTTCACTGCCATCTTTGAACCAAATATGTGCATAAAGATGGATTTTCTGGGGATCCTCTTGGGAATATGCTTGTGCTCCGACTCTTT